GGCTCTGTCTCAAAAAAAAAAAAAAAAAAAAAAAACTCAGGGAAGGTAATAGTGTTCTCTGGCAGGTCCAGTTTCTAAGCAGATAAAGGAACTTCAGGGGAGAACTTTATCTTATCCTTTGGGTGACAGAGACCTTGAGGCTGCTTCTGCAGTCTGTTATGTCAGAGTGACATGTTTTGGGGTATTAGTTTCTGAGCCTCAGTAATACCATATTTCCAAATTCACTATACTGACCATACCTAAACTCTAGTGTGTTGAAAAGAAATGAGTGAGCACACTGCTTTCAGTTGTCACCACTGGGGGAATTTGCCCTCCCCTCGGGAACTAGCTTGGACCATTCCTGCCATTTGGCCATGAGATTTTTGAACTGCAGATATAGTCCCAATAGGAATTTATACATTGCTGGGAAGAGTGTAAATCGGTACAGTGACTTCAGAGAATAGTAAAGCAATTCCTGTAAAAGTGAAAGTGTGCTTTTTTTTTTAATTCCCATAGAGAGACTCTTGTATATGTGTGTATGTATATAAGATATGTGCAAGGATATTTGTTTCAACACTGTTCAGAACAAAGAAAAAAGTAAAAATTATCTTTTAATAGAAATAAACTGGTTGTAGTTGTATAATGAAACATTTTGAAGCAATAAAAATGAACACTGATAATGTCTATTATTAACATGTAGCTCCAAAATAGTTAATGTGTGAAAATGCAAATTTCAAAATGATGTATAACATGTAATCCCATCTGTTTAAATATATTAAATGGAAACAGTAATGTGTACTGTTTGAGAACATGACTGAATATATATGAAAAAGTCCAAAATATACATGGGAATCATGTACAGCAATTTTATGAGGACAATTATCTGGGGGTCTGGGTAGAGCCATATTTGTATTATCTTAATTTTTGAGAGAAAGAAGCAAAGGAGAAAGGTTCAGTTCGAAGCAAATATTCTCACTAGTGGGTACATGAATCATAGTGTTGGCTATATAGAATCTTGTGGTTTTTTGTTTTTTAAATTTTTTTTTTGCCAGGGCTGGGTTTGAACCCACCACCTCTGGCATATGGAGCTGACGCCCTACCCTTTGAGCCACAGGTGCCACCCCTAGAATCTTGTGTTTTAAATATGTTTTAACTATTATACATTGAAAAGAAAGTATTTGCATGCTTCAGCATCACAATTTGACTCTTAAACTTGCTGAAATGATAGCAAGCTTTTTAACGTTTATTTACTGGACTTTATCCTCTTGTCTACTTCCAAACCTCAAATCACAGTGAATAGTCTACAAGTTAAATTGACTATCTATAAATGAGAGGTTTCATACAAAGTTTTTTTTTGTTGTTTTATAGGAAAAACATCAGAGAGAGGCTCGTTTTCCCTGTACAGCAGAGATACTGGACTACCTGGCTGTCAGGTAAGTTTAATGAATAGAAAAAGCAATGTGGTGATTTTTGAACATATAAAGGCTTTATTAGTAGAGAAGGTAGAAATATATCCAGTTTATTTCACCATTAGTTTGTTCTTTAATTTTTAAAATGAGGGGTTTTTTAGCAATTAAACATACTTTCTTTTCTTTTGTTCCCTCTCTTTAAAATGGATTCCCTTTCCTAGTTTACCAAACTGTCTGTATCATCAAAGATTTTCATAATCTATCTCTATTTTAACTGGATACAAAGTAGCAATGATCTTTTTACCCCTTTCCAAAATGCATGTCATTTCTGAAAGTGGTTTTGCATATTTCTTCACAGAAAAAACACAATTGTTGATATATAACATGAAAAACATGATTGATCTGCATAGTTTGAACATCCTGTCATTTTATTTTATTTATTTTTTTTTTTTTTGAGACGGAGCCTCAAGCTATCCCCCTGGGTAGAGTGCCATGGCATCATGCTCACAGCAACCTCCAACTCCTGGGCTCAAGCGAGTCTCCTGCCTCAGCCTCCCAAGCAGCTGGGACTACAGGCGCCCGCCACAACGCCTGGCCATTTTTTGGTTGCAGCCATTATTGTTGTTTGGCGGGCCCGGGCTGGGGATTCGAACCCGCCACCTTAGGTGTATGTGGCTGGCGCCTTAGCGGCTTGAGCCACAGGCGCCGAGCCCATCCTGTCATTTTAAACTTACTAACATTGGAAGTATTTTCATTTCAGTCCTTCATTTCAGTCTAACCAGTTTTTAGGCTTTCTACTAATAGTCTCTGACAGAGAAACTTTCTTTTCAACTCCTAACATGTTCTCTGGCATTTTGTATTTCTGCTAATGGCTATCTTGTCTGTTATTTCTCCTATATTTTTAGACCGAAAATCCTGAGCACTCAGTTTATCTGCAAATTTCCATCAGAATCAAGCCAAAATAATAGAAAGGAAAGACAGAATATATTAAATTTGTTTTTGCCATCTACATGCTTTTCATGAGGCTCACCCTAATTTCAGACATATGGGCACCTGAACCAGTTTTAACTGTTACAATATTTCTCCATTTAATAGTTTTATATATTTTATGATATCCTTCCCCATTATAACATATGTATTGTAAAAACTTTCCATCCTCTTACTGGTAAACCCAACAAACAGGCATATTCTGAATAAGTAATTTGTCAAATATCATAGAATCAGGCATAGATTCTGTGGCTGGACCATACACTCAGATTTCCTGCCTTCTGACCAAGGAAGCATACTCTGTTCTCATGCAAGTGATTTTTTAAAAATTCAGTGTGCTAATAATGATTATTTTCCATGTTTATGGTTAGCTTTATTACATTATGGCAACTTAAAAATGCTGCATATAGACAGGAGTTGTGTCATAGTCGGTTGTTGTTATGTCTTTCCAGTTCAGAAGAAGCAAATTTGTTAACATTTTTAGGAATTTTGCAAGGTATCCGGCATCATGTTGATATCTTAAAAGTGGCCATCATGGAAACATTTACGCTGTGGAGATCTAAAAATATTACAAATAAGGCTTTTCTTTTAACCATTTGTTAAATATTTACTAGCATACTGCTCATGCTCAGTTAAAAATTATAGAGAAAAAAAAATTAAAGTGCTCATTCAGATCACAAAAGATCAGCAGAAAAACAGCATTTGACCTTCTAGCCTCCATTTAGGTACTTTTCTGACCTTTATGGATGGATAACAGTGCTTTGAGGGCAACTTAGATATAACATTTCTTCTTTATAGTTTTAGTAATATCCATTATTAAGAATCACAATATTCTCTCTAAGGGCCATATCAATTGTGGATTGGTAATTATAATATTTCTACAATTTGTAATTGACAGGAGAATTACTTTTTTGTGTAAAAGTTACTGTTTGAATTCCTTAGTTTAAATTTGAATTCTTTAATGACTTGGGCTGTGGGCTTTGGATCTAATTTCCAACGTCAGCTGTGTCACTCTTACTGTCAGAATTTTGCAGTCCTCTTTACTATCACTGTTGTAAATTTGTTCAGAACAAAACAAAATTTTAAAAACTAATTTATGTCATTTTGACAATGAAGAGTTAGAGAAAAAAAAACTACAAAAAGCCCGTTAGATGGGTGGAGGCAGAGTAATTAGTAGGACCACACCTACAGTGCATCTTACAAGGGTACATGTGAAACTTACAAAATGTAGACTATAAATGTCTTAACACGATAACTAAGAAAATGCCGTGAAGGCTATGTTAACCAGTTTGATGAAAATATTTCAAATTGTATATAAGACCAGCACATTGTACCCCATGATTGCATTAATGCACACAGCTATAATTTAATTTAAAAAATTAGATTTAAGGTGTTCAGTAAACTGCCAGTGTGACATATTGAGTAGACTTATCTGCCAGTCTGCTGAAAGGCCTTAAAATTCTTTTCACCTTGATCTTAAATCTGAGGCAGGAGCTTAGTCAAGGAATATGAATCTCATGCTATATTCTTATAATATAAGCCTCCCTGATTATACCATAACCAATTTCATTATTTAATCAGGTATTTGAAGGTGCTATTGTCATTTCCTGATAATACAGTAGAAGGTCAGTAAATGTCAGTTGAGAGTCAAAGTCAGAAGACCGAGGTTCAAGTCTCATCTCTGCATTGATTTTCTCATTTGAAAAATAGGATCGGCAACTTTAGATTCTCCCTGCTCTGCATATCTCTGAAGGTTAACTCTTGAACTTGTGAAAACATTCTGAAAGACAAGTACATTTAAAATTTCATGATTCATGTAACCCACATAACAAAAGGTCTTTGGGGTCCTTGATACTATTTTTAAGAAACTTAATGTTTACTAAGAGCCACTGGTCTAATGTTAACATTAGTGCTAAACTTGAGGGAGAAAAAGAAACTATTGGAAGCTTTTTTAAACTACAGCTACATCTACTATAATATAGCTAATACTTATATTAATGTTTTCATTATGTTCGCATGTTTTCACTTAACATTTTTTATACCCTCTTGGCAAAAGTATTGCTATTTAGAATCAGTGGCAAGCTCTATGTATATAACTGTCCAATTTTGGAAAGGTGAATCTTAACAGTTTTTACCACAGATGAATATACATTTATATTAGATTTAATTTTCATATCAAAAAAATTTAATCCTAGCTGTTTATCCCTCTAATAATGATTGCTACCATTTGCTGAGCACAAACAAAGCCAGTCATTGAACTAATATGATCACGTTTACTCGTTACCCATTTTGCATGAGGCCCTGGTGGCCGTGCTTTAAGATCAGCTCTTACATATATGCCAAATCTAAGCATATAAGGGAGCATTTTTAAAAAGGTACTATAAGATCACTGATAGCTATTTATAAACATTTTGGAGAGATCAAGCAGGCACATGGAACAGAAGGACAAGGTTACTGGAATGTATGATGCAAAATAATATTACTATATATAAGATATAAAGGCATTCAAGGGAGAGAAAGATTCGTTTTTGAAGAATTCACAGGAACAATGCATGAGCTCCCAACAGGAAACCCAAAATTCAGCAGAGGGAGAAAAAATTACACTGCAGCAAGAATAGACAGCATCAGTGAAGACAGAGGACTATTAACACAAGTAAAAGCATCCATCACGCTGAAAGGAACAATAGCTTTTCTATTTATTATTGTTACTGAGCTCTGACTATGCTGTAGTTACTAGGAGAAATTGTGATGGATGACATTAGCTGATTTGGGGCCTGAGAAAGTAAACTGAAGAAATTCAAGAGTTAAAAAGATACATTACTTTCTAATTCCAAGAAAAACATGTATTCCAGATAGTATTTATTATAGTGAGTCAGAAAAGGAAAAAATCTACTTAACTAATTGGTTGCTGTTTTGTCTTACCTATTCACAAGTGACATGAAAATTCAAGGAAGCAAAAAAAAAAAAAATTCAAGGAAGCATAAATAGTGACTGCAAAATTATATTCACACACCTCCTTGAAACCATTTTTCTTCAACCAAGTCCCCCAAGGAACATTAACTCTGCTATTAATGTACATAAAATGCTGCTGATATTCTGCAAAATTCAGGCTAATTTAATAATGTCTGATGGGCTTTACTTCATGTTAAGATGATATAATAATATGTTGCTAAATGAGTCTTCTCATATTACCTTCACAGCAATCACATAACTGATGAGCCATTAAAAGGAAACTTATGTAGCACTATTGCTGGAAACATTGATAGATCATTCATTCTACAATTGAATTTTTTTAATTGATCCAACACAGAGCATAGAAGCCAGCATCTTTATTAACAATAGGTACAATACTTTAAAAACTACCATAGTTAAATTAAAATTTTTTTTATCATTACCACAGAGTTTTTCATTGATACCTTTTAAGCAAATATTTATTGAAATATTTTGATTAAGTTATTCTCAGAGTGCTCAAAAGTAGAGGATGGCAGTGTCTTTTTTTTTTTTTTTTTTTCAGGAAGCATTAGGTTTCATCTGAGTTCAGATATTATGTCCTTGAGAAAATAACAACTTTTTAAAAAGCTGTACTTCTGTTAACTCTTAATCATTTGAAAATATATCTACAACATTGGGTTCTTTCTCTTCCTTTTTTTCCATTGTAGCCAATCTCATTATAGACAGATTAGTCAGTATTAATAAAATGATATTAGTCAGTATGTCATGTAGACATAACAATAATGTCTACACATCTAGTAAGAAAGCTTTTTAAATACAGTATAACCTCCATAATTGACCATCTCCTTAAGTTGACCTAATTTTCATAGACCAAATATGAACCACATGTACTAAGGCTTAGTTCCTTATGCTGACCACCTCCATATGTTGGAGACCCTTGCATGGTCAATTTACAGAGATTCTACTATATATGATATGTGAAGCAGAAAAAAAAAATTGACAGAATTAAAGCGAAATAAATTTACATAGTTGAGGATTTGAATATTTCTCAGCAATTGACAAAATAATTAGACAAAAACTTACTA